CATACATACATACATACATACATACATACATACATACATACATACATACATACATACATACATACATCATACATACATACACACACATATATATATATATATATATATATATGATATAGAATCAATTCAAATATGAATATAAATACATATCTTATACAAGTCACACACCTCGTGTTTCTTTTTGGGGCCAAAGAGCATGTCCGATCCATACCATAGATCCGCCGGTCCTACAGTCATGTACACACATCATGTCCGTGGCAGGTGGTGATGGTTCAAGGGTTATAAGGTGTAGTTTTTAGGGTTTTAGGTTTCAGGTAAGTGATCCTCAAGTGTGTACCGACTGGTAGTGCGAATGTCTTATACTGATCTGTGGGCAACTGTGTGCAAGCATGCATGTACATAAACGTATGCGTGTAGCACGATTTGTCGATGTAAACAACAACAGAATACATCGACATATTTATAAACAAACATACACGCATATACACACGCAGCATACACATATATACACACATACACACTTATGCTCTACATACCTATATATACATCCAATTTAAACAACCTACAAACCCACATACATACACACCAGTGAGCTCGCGAACACAGCAGTCGCCGTGGAACACGGTCATTTGCCCCCGCATAAGATAGAACGCGTGGTCGCCAAACAAGCCATCCTCCACCCATTGTTCCTGAATTACACAGTATGTCCATTGCAGGCGAGACGCTAAACGCAGACAAACGTCCACGGGTATGTTGGTACCCAATAGACGTACCACCTTGTCAAAGTGCGAGTAGAGCTTGATTTCCTTCCTGTATTTGTGAGTGTGTGTATTGGTGTGGAATGAGCTCGTATTTGTCATGTGGGCATGAGATCAGAGTTCAGGACTAACGAGGCAGTTGTTCCACAAACGACGCAGCCCCTTGGAAGTAGCAGCTATAAACAGAGCTCCCATCACGCCGCCGTGTTGCGTATATATATATATATATATATGCAAGCGTTATTTAACTCTGGCGACAAACCCTTTCGAGATCATCAATACAAAACGTATTGTCTCCAAACGGCTGATACAGAACTGAGCCCACCCCTATATCTCCCACAGCAGTTGCACAATTTACTGAACCGTGGAGCTGATATGCAAACAGCATCGACAGAGGGGCATATCCATAAATGCCAGAATATGCACGCATACACTTACAGCAGATGCGGGGGATAGCCGTTGAAGACATGTTCGACGTCAAAGCGGTGTCTGAGGTTGTCTTTGTGCGTTGTATAGTGCCAGATACGCCTCTCTACTTGCTTCGGGAGATTGTTCTGTGTCAGGCAGTGCATATATATATTAGTCTACCAGCATGATTTGAGCTAGAGATAGACTGTTCAGCGAATGTGGTGTAAACATGAGCATATGTTTGTTTCTTCATTCGCTTGTAAGTTCGAGAGAAGCTGAGTGTAACCTTACAAACAAGTGAAAGTGAAACGTAGAACCGGAAGCAGCGTCAGTGACAAAGCGGATCAGCCCATAAGTACAAAGCGTACGACTGGGAGTAAATTATGTGACAAGAGCAATCTCAAAACAACGGAACAGTATAGAACTACTCGTAGGTGTATAAGCGTTCACGGGAGTATACAATAGTCCAAGAACAATCAATACGTTAAACGTGAGCAAACATACAACCTTCAAACCTACGAAACAACATAGCACCCATGGGAACACATCTCATACTACAATTCAGTATACAGAAACACCAACGAGATATTGCCCAAAAAACTACATACAGTCGCATAGTAAACATGTTGGCTAAGCAGGTACCATGCAAAGATAACATTGGTGTGCCACACATACACCCACAGAACTTGGCAAAAAAAGGTACTTTACGTAAGCAGTTGCGCATGCGCAGTCAGCACAACCATAGTCTAGTCTGCCTAGAATGGGTATACGTGCATGTAAATACAACCACCTCCCACCCTCGAGCCACAGATATATATCCCTGTTCTGTTGTCCAGACTACACTACAAAGTTGCCTGTGCCTGTGCTAAAATTGGTCTACAATTTCCCTGTACTATTCGTGTATACATACCGTGTATACATACGACAATGCTTGATATCGTCCAATGACATTCGAGACACAATCTACGTTTCCTATAAACTGGAGAATATTCGATTTCCGTTTTCTGTAAACTAGAGAATATTTGGCTTACGTATTCGATATACTGGAGAATAATCGGCTGACGGTTCTTATATGCTGGAGGATATTCCACCTACATTTTCTATGAACTGTAGAATAATCTGACTTACGTTTTCTATATACTGGAGAATATGCTTGTTCTTCGCAATGTTGGCCACATTATCGGAGTAGAAGGTGGAAACCAGCATCACTACGTAACCAAAGATAAACGCGTCGAAGAAACCTGCATTCATCCAATGTAAGCAATTACAGGTGTAGGGAAAGTAATAAGTATGCGAATAAGTACACTATCCTTCTACCATACGCCGTGTGCCCACTTAAATACATGACACGTGACAAACTGACAATCGTTAAGTTTCAATTTATACAATGTTGTTTATTGATGAAGGAAGCAGAAGTGGCTGTATTGAAAATATTGGCAGTTGGCAGTGAAACGCACGAGAAGCTCTATCGGTCTATCTCTAGCAACAAACGGGCCCACACCCCCTACAATAATTAATAATGTATAAGTATGTATTACTTTCAATCGTCGCAGCAATAATATACGTAGATAGAGACACTGTTCTTCTAGCTGCCTCAACTCGTGCGTGCTATTGTGTCAACTAACTATCACAGGGGTGTGCCTCAACTCGTGCGTGCTATTGTGTCAACTAACTATCACAGGGGTCCAGCCAACGAAGTACCGTAATCGACTAAGAAAATATGCACTGAAAGAAAACACACACCTGTGACCACCATGATGACATTTGCAAACCAAATTTGATTCAGTGTATTGGGTGTGATATCTCCATATCCCACCGTTACCATGGTAACCACGATGTAGTAATAGCTGTACGTGTACTGCGTGCTGAAGTCCGCGTCCTCGAACAATTCCGCACTGTCGTTGTAGTAACTGACGTGTGGATAGACCCCATCTGCGAGCATAAGCGTGCATGTCTGTGTTAGTGTATACATATATGAATTAACATATATATCGTATGTGAGTGTGAATATCCTACTAATTCTGATCATAACGCCAAACGAAGTTGAGACGATAAATAAACCACGATATGGAGCACCGCGGCATTTGATGTCGTTTCCCATGAACACAAGAGAGCGCGGCGCAGGAGTGGATGCATTGGAATAAATCTACTAGAAGAGTATGTACAGACATAGCCTTCTAAATCAAACAACGGATGATACAGATGAGTACTTGAAGAGTGTGTACAGATAATACATATGTATACGTCACTCATGCTCACGAGGACTATACCGACTGGCAACGCAAACAATATATATCCTAAGGATTCCTGGCTGTACATAACGATATATTGCTAGTTATACCCGCCGTACCTGCAGGGAATGAAGATATTTACATGATTCTATTGATACTGGTATATGTCCTCGACGCAGTGCATGCATGGATGAGGTTCCATCGTGAATAACCACAATGAATGTACACATACACATGTCTATGAATCAAGCCCAGCCGTACATATGCACATGTGTATACATTAAAACAAACAAACTTAATCGGATATTCCGCAAGCAACAGCACACGCACACTAGCAACCCAAAGAATGTGTTCATTTACACATGGATACATATCAAAACCAGTGACCTAATCAAATATACTTCCACACATATCTATAAATCGAGATAATGACGTACCGAATGTTTTGCAAGAAATATCCACACACGCATCAGAAAATCTGACATCAAGACAAACAGACTTGCCCGAATGTTTGGCAATAAAGAACCAAATACACGCCAACAGATTCATCAGCGCAATCCAGCCGACAAAGATCAGTCCCAGTCGTACCCATGTCAGCAGATTGGCATTGAGCGATTGAATGTGGTCCTGTATTGAAATAAGCAGAATAAAATTAGATCGACAGGACACTAAAATGGTGATGTATATAAGTATTGATAAAACAAAGAATATAATTGGGGCTCATACTGCATAACAAATGAATAAGACTTTGTAGAGACAAAAAGAACGATATCAGGCCCATAGGCAGTACATGGTAATAGAAAAATATCGGGGCAATGGACGTAAAGTGCATTTTTAGGGTTTAATAACAACGAAAAGTGAATGGGCGTACTATATGAAATGCATAAGGAAAAGATCGAGTCACGCAGCAAATAGAACCGGTCAAAGACAGTGTATATGACCATGGGGGAGCGATTACGGCAATGGCAACCACAACAATTAAGCAAAAGACTACGACCTCCACGCGGAGATAGACACAGGCTTAGCACATACATGCACATAGAGCTCGCTTACAACGCACAAGTGAATGTCACGTACTTGATATCTACATGTGAATGAAAAACGTTTACAATGTACATTTAGATGGCACAGGCATAAAACGTACAAGAAACTAGCACATCACTGAACAATCACGGACCAGTAAATGACGCATGCTGAACAGACGCAGCAGCTTGAGCAGGGCGATCCACATGGCTTCCTTGACCCAGATGGAAATGATACCCCATGGCAGGGCTCCCGCAAGATCAATAATGAACCATGTGCTCAAGTAGTGCCGTAAGGCGCGTTTCTGTATATAGCAAGTAGAGCTGCTTAATATTGATAGCCACACTGTAACGAGTATTGGTATCTGTAGCTGGTACGAAATATGTTTCGAGTAGCCAAGTGTAGAGTACGAGTTTTATTTACATGTACGTGTTGAGGCACGGAATGAAATAGGGCATCGCAGATTACAGATTACAGATTTATATATACATATACATATATACATATATATATATATAT